CAGTGGAATCGTCAGCAAAGCATTGAACAGAAAAACCCCAACCCAACAAACAGAACGACAAATAGATGATGCTATAAAGCTAAAACGTTCTATAAGTACACGTGTAAACGGGTCGGGTCGGGCCTGCTTCAACTTTAGGTATCGACCGGACTTAGGTCTCATCCTGACCAGTCCAAGTCACTTAGAGCCAGACACAGGTCAAAAAATTTTAAAAATATAAAAAGTTATTATGTATATTATTTATGATATATTTTATATTTCTTACATATTTTATCATCGGTCTGGTTGGGTCGACATCGACCAGATCCATTCCAATAGGGGTCCATGCTGGACTGTACCCAGGTTGTGTCCAAGTCATTTGGGCTCAACGAAGAGGATTAATATTTTTAAACATAAGTAAGAAATCACAACGTAAGATTTTAATGAGTCCCCGCCTCATCTATTTAAATGAGTCCTTTCAATAAATTTTGGATATAAAATATTAAAGAGTGAAAATCTAAAAATATGATGACCAAGAATCCAAAGAAAATAAATTCCAAAAATATGAAGATTTTTAATATAATTTCAATAACGTTAGTTTTAAGTTTCGGTGGGGCCGTCATCGCTCTTTAACCTCTTAACGCAATGAGGATGTTTTGTGCGTAAGGGGCTGTTACCATGGAGGGGACGCTGTTGTTAAAGTGCGTATCAATTACTTTTCCATAAAAAAAAGCTATAGGGAGAGAGAGAGAGAGGCCTCCACGATAAGAAGAGAGGGCATATACTATGTTCCCACGGGAGCACAGGATGATTTTTTTCGCCAAAAATTATTTAAAAAAAAAAAAAAGAATTTTAAGTTTTGGAGCAAATTACATTTCGATCTTATTTAGGGGGGTAATTATTATTTGGGTCATTTGCTCAATATTACCAGCACTACCCCCACATATTGGTTTTTTTTTTTTTTTTTTTTAGTTTTTGAAAATTAAAATATCGGATATATTTTTTTTTTCTAAATTATCAATGATGTCCGGTATTTACGTTGTCCCATTTCCGGACAATACTTTCTTCAGTTTTCATCTGTCTTAACTCGTTTTTGGTCACAGTTCTCTCTCTCCTCGCTCTTTTAAAATCCTATCCTCACTCTTTTAAAATCCTATTCTCATGACCTGGAGCGCAATGCAAACGCCCCGGATACAACGGTGACTTAGGACAAAAAAAATCATGACCTGTGTTGTCATTGTCTGACAAAAGCAACTTAAGAAAAAAAATAAAAAGATGCGGTGGTGGGGATGGTGCTCCTAATATTAAACCAATGACCCCAAATGATAATTATTGACCTCCGTACTTAATTTGCTTTTAAACGTTTATAACACTTAAGATTTAACTCTTTAAAAATTCAATCGCTATTAAGTGTTTTAATAAAGAAAAAAATTTAAATAGAACTGAGGCTCTAAACAATCAAATTTGAGCCTACCCCAAAAGTTTCATTAAAAAAATTCGTTTTGATGCCCAAATATCTTCAAATTGACCATCTCAACATCAAAATATAAATAGAGATGAGAAAAAAATGGATTTCAAGTTTTGAAAATAATGTATTTTGTAACACAATTTTAGACCGTCAATTTTTAAGATTTTCAAGTTTTCGTAGATCTGTCAATCTACACTATTTTTGAAGGATTTCAAGTTTTGAAAATAATGTATTTTGTAACACAATTTTAGACCGTCAATTTTTAAGATTTTCAAGTTTTCGTAGATCTGTAAATCTACATTATTTTTGAAGCTTTAAACTTTATAAATAAATATTTTAAGGCTATCACAAAGATTTTCAATATTAAAACTACATTTCTGGTCACTATTTGAAGGGAGGCTCTAATTTGATTGTTTAAAGCTCAGGCTCTATACAAACCGCACCTATAAATTTAATAAAAGAAATGGCATTGTAAGACCTTCCCGTATCTATATGTGTAAGATTTCAAAAGATCATTATTAAATTTGATAATAATATCTACAAAAAGACAAGTCCCATACCTATACGACAATTTTTAAAAAAATTTATGCTAAATATAATGACGATCTTTTAAGATGGTATACATATAAATATAAATGTAGAAAGGCATCGTATAGGATTATTACTCATTTAATAAAGGATGAGTTAATATGGAGATCTTTTTTTCTCAAATTAAAGATGAATCCCCAAAATTTAAGATAGAAAGAGTAGGGGTATCCCCATGTGCTTTATCTTCCCGAAGAATAAAAAATGGGCAAAAGGAGACCATTGAATTTTGTCCATTGTTGTAGAAGTATAAGCGGAGAGAAATGGAAAGACCCTATTTTGAAAGAAGAAAAAAGCGGGAGAGAAGTGTGTTATACGTTACATCAACCAAGAAATCATGATTGAGAAAGCGGTGGAGGCTCTCAGCACGAGGTCGGCACATACATCATTGCTCTAGAGAGAGAGGGTTTTAGAGAGGAAGGCCAGTAGAGAGAGAGAGTGAGAAAGATTATTACGCTCTAGAGAGAGAGGGTTTTAGAGAGAGAGGCCGTTACCTCCACAAGAAAAGAATCAGGTCTGCCAATTTTGTAGGTAATCCCAACAACCGCTACCTTCCCTACTTTGCTCTCGTGAACCAAGTGCACTTCTAATGAGTATCTGAATCAAACAAATCCCACCGTCAATTTGGTCAGTAAAGGATGCGGTGGCCAAGTTCGCGCATGTAAAAATACGGGTCCCTTAATAAATTTATTTTCAAAATAAAATTCTAGAGAATATATAATCTTCAACATATTGAGAATGAATATAAAAAAATAAAAATAATAATTTTATTAAAAAACATTTGAACCGTTTGTTTGTCTGAATTGTTTCTAGATGAACCATGTATTTGTATCCATCTTTAAAATGGATTGATGTTTTATACCTCACTCAGTCTAGCGCGAATGCAACAATTGTTTATCATTTATCAGAAGTGTAAAAAGACAGAGACACATACACAGCATAATTGATGAATTAATATACCTTGAACCATTGAAAGTGTGCTCGGAGGGTGAATGCCAATGACATTGTTTCAGAACATACTCCGTTTGGTTTATTTCAAGTGTTCCAGCTCCACTTTCCTCCCACTTAAGCTGCCACAACAATTTATGAACGAGTAAAGACAGAAAGAATGTTCAGTTGGGTTCATCTAAACGGGGAGAGAGACAGAGACAGATACCATTATATCATGGCCTCTGTTCTCTAGGATTGCTTTAGCGGGCTTATATTCCCTCTTTAAGCGCCCCAGATTTGGCAGAACCTCCACCCTTTCTTGAAGCAGGTCAATTGGAGACTGCATATCCCCATTGCTACAAGCCGCCCATTCGGGATGGAGCTCGCCCCAGTGCTTCGGCCCCTTTTCACTGCCTTCCAAATAATCAAACTCTCTCTCATCCTCTACCACCCATCGAACCAAAACATCATATGAGAGAGAGAGGACAAAAAAGCGAAAACCAGAAATAAAGTTGCGAAGAGGAGATCAGAAAATATTATGGGGACAGAGGAGAGAGAGGGGAAACACAAAAATTGCAGTATACAACGACGGTGGCAGAGATTACCAACTTCCTGAGAAGCCGAAGGAACGGATTGTGTTATGATGAAAAAAATAATGAAAGAGGACGTGAACCAAAGGCTAGTCCTGCATAGATCCATGGCGATCCTCTCTCTACAAAATGTGATACTCATCATCTCTCGCTCTAACTCGAACGAATATGGATGTAGCGTCCCCCTTGGGCTTCAAATATATGTAGGCTCGAAGATTTGGTTGTGGGTTTCTTCTTTCGAGGAAGATGAATTGAAATCCACAAAACATTAAAAAAACCAGGGAGGAGGAATTGATAAAGGGTTTTCAAAGTCCGTGCGATCGTGATGGCTACACTAAATCGCGTAATATTTTTGGTAATTAGTTGTCGTTCGTTGTTATTATTATTATTTTTGTCATTTCTTCTTTTGAGGGATGGTAATTTGGAAAGGTAATTAGGGGAAAAAAGGTATCAACTTTCCAACAAATCGCCCGTATCTGGCCAAAAATCGGAACCCAACGCGAAATCGGGCGATCCAGATCCGAAATCACCCAGCCTATCTCGAATCTGGCCAAAAATCGGGATTAGGCATTTTAACGGTACAAAAGTGGTGTATTACTAAAATTGAGAGGAACTGCGCTGCCAAGGTCATATTGAAACTATCAAAGCTTGCTTCAAGCACAACCTCTTACACTCGACTGAAAAGGGTGGAATTTATACAAGTTGTGCCTTTCCTCCGATGTCGTTGTGGGACAAATCCTTATATTTTTTCTTCTACTGTAATATTGCTTGCTCTGGGTAAAATGAGAAGATGACAATGTAGTTTTGGTTGGTGTGGATAAAATAGGAAGATGAAGATGATGAATCGTTGGATGTGAATGAAGAGAGAGGAGAAGAGGCGAAATTGTCGAACCTTCCAACTTTTTTTACACCCGCCACTTTTTGTTCATGAATAATTTAATATTAAATGGAACATTTTTTAGGGTAAAAATGTATTTTGATTTTTTTTTTTAATATCATAATATTAAAATTTATAGGAGGTTTTATTTTTGATTTTAATCATATGATATGGAAGTGTTTTCTAATAATTTTTTTACCATGTTTATTATGATATTATAATTAATAACTATATATTGATAACCAAATCTTATATTTTATTTATTTATTTCTTTATGTTATAAATTATATAATATATTATTTTTCTTATAGTTGTAAATAAAAATATTTAAATTAGATGATATTATGAGAAATTTTAGATTTTTTTATTTATAAATATTTTATTAAATATAAACCAACAATTTCAATTTCAATATATAATATTATAGTTAGTTAGGTTGTAATGTATTATTTTTGTTTATTAATTTATTAAACCAAATATTATATTATATTTATTAATTTCTTTACATTATAGGTTATGCAATGAATTATTTTTTATTATAGTTGTAAATTAGATTTTTAAATAAGATGATATTATAAGACAAATTTCAAATTTATTCTTATTTGTATAGTAAAATGATTATAAAATAATAAAATAATAAAATAATAAAATAATAAAATACAAACCAATAATTCTAATTTCAATATCTAATATTGTATATAATTAGATTTTAATAAATATTTGATGAGAATCTTCGTACATAGAAAGAACATCTCAGTATTCACGTATTGATACAAAAAAATAAAAGTTATTAATGTAGTTAGTACCCTCATTTCTTTTTGGATTCTTAAAAAATAACATTTATAATGGTTTTTAATAATTTTTTGAATTTTTTTAAGACTGAATTTGACCGATTTGGCCGATTCCCTATTCGAAACACCGATTCATCGATTCGGATGGATTTCTGAGATGCCCGACCTGAGGTACCGATCCGTTTTTAAACCACTGCTTTCCAATATGACAATCGGTCACTGTGCAAGTATTACTTGCACCGATTTTACCCGAATTTAATGCTGTGAAAATAATAAGATAAAAAATAGGGAAGTTTACATATGCAACGGGTTAAATTTATAGAATTTACCCAAATTTTATGGAAACACTTTGGTCTATAATTTTCTAAATTTTACATTAAGATCATTCTTTTTTGTGTATTTTTATTTTTCCTAGTTTTGCAATTGAACTATATTATTATTATTATTTTTTGATTCTTGGGTTAGTGCCGATGCTCCAAATATCAGATCAAGCCATTTTTAGGACGGTCCGATATTGAAAACATTAGACTACCCTATCATTCCTTATGATGAGTTTGAATGGGGGCGTCTATTATCCGAAACATTGACCGTTTTCACTTATGAAAGAAGAAAAACTTGAGTGGTATGATACTGCTAACACCGAACGCATATACTCTCTCTGTTTCTAATCCGGATCCCATATATAATATTTGGATCCGATCCTAGATCCCATGTATACTTTTTGGATCTGATCGGATCCAACCATTTTGATCCAATCATATCCAGATCCCATGTTACTTTTCGGATCCAAATCCGGATTTGGGTGGATCCGGACCCACTAAATTCTCTGCCCTATTACCATGCGCTTTTTATTGTTCGATTATTTCGATCAATTACGCCGTTATATTTTGGCGATCGCCAGTAATTTGACAATTAATCCATATTGGAGTCATTGTTTAGTCATTTAATGTAAAGTACAGAAGTATAAAACCCGACCCAAAGCCTCTTATAACAAAAAGGAAAATTTATGTATGTATCGTTTTTCCCAATTTATCATTGTATGCTCCATATTTTTTGAAATTTACATGGACACCATCCCCCCAACCCCATCTCTTTTCTTTAGTTTTGTCTCCTCTATGGTATTTCCAAAATTAGGCAGGTGAGAAATTCATTTTAATTATTTTATTATTTTACTTTTAATTTTCAAGGTCCATTGGAAATCAGAAAAGCAAAACACTCTTATTTCTTTGTCTTTTTTTATATAAATGATGTTGGATAGCCCTAAAACCCACAACGTGTTTGACTTTAATGATATCAGACATCAGTGATACCGGACATCTCCAAATGTTTGCTTTTGGGTTGTTTGATATTTTCAACAGCTCGAAGATTTCTCTTACTAAGGAATGAGGTGTCCAATGCTAGTAACATCAGTCAGTTGGACATTTTTAAATCCTTGCCTTTAAGTGGTTCAATATTTTCAATACTGGTTAGGGTCTCTTGCCAAGGAACAAGGTGTTCGCTGTTAGCAACATCAGATAACCTAAAATATCCAATTTATTCCCCTTGACTGTCCAATATTTTCAACACTGGGCAAGCCACTTGCTGAGGAACAAGGTGTCTAGTGTTCGCAACATTGGGCAACCTAAAGGAAAAGATTTGGAGATGTCAAACATCACTAACATCGAACACACCATGGTTTTAAGATTTCGACATTGTCCTTTGGAAGTGTTGGACAAGGGCCCAAAGCTAGAAAAAAAAAAAGAAAGGGTGGGGGGGAGGAGGGGCGCGACGGGTTGGGGTGGGTGATGGTCTTACATTTTTCAAATGATATGTTATCAAAAAGTTCACAATGTGTTGTTTCGAGGTATAAGATGTTAGGATATGGATATCTCAGGTTCATATTGATATACATCATTATGTATGTATATGTATATATCTCTTGATAGTGTTAGGTCTATAGAAGATTGAGACCCAATTACTTGGTCATCAAGTTATCATATCATATTTATCTCATGTAATTGTGTAATTGTCCTCTATATATAGAGGTACTATTTGATGTAAAGGTTCATCCAAAATAATGAAGATGTAGCCGGTTGAGCTTTGGATCCGTGGACGTAAGGCTTCAGCCTGAACCACGTAAATGTCGTGTTCTCTGTTTTTCTCTTTCCATTCTATGCTCCCACAAATTATAACTTGGTATCAGAGCAAGGTTCACGATTTGAAATTTCGTCTGGAGCTTGTTGTTCAAGTTCTCTTGATGGGTGAAATCCTCAATCTTAGCCACACCCTCTCTGATGTTGTCTTTGTCTCTCTTCGCCTTCTCCTCGTAATTGAATATAGCAAGTGCTCACTTAACTGCTAGACCTCCGAGGAGCTTATAGCACAAAGACTTGGCTTATGCAATAGCACAAAGGCCTCTATTGTTCACCTTCTCAGCGTACAATTCCACACTGGTCTCACGAAAATTAAACTTTTTTTTTGCACCACAGAAGTCAACTCCCTAATCCTTTTACCCTTCTCCAAGTGTTTCTGAAGAAGAAAGAGTTTCTTCCCCAAGAATTGCAAGTTGAAGAAGTAGAGAAGGAAAAAAAAAAAAAGAGTGGTATTTTTTTTAAGATGTGGGCTATTGATATGATTGTACTCAAAAGAAAAAAAAAATTTAAAAAAAAAATTGAAAAATTAGAAAAAAAAAGAGTGGTTTTTTTTTAAGATGAGGGCTATTGATATGATTGTACTCAAAAAGAAAAAAAAAAAAAAAAACAAAAAAATTGAAAAGGTAAGTAAAAAAAAAAAAAAAAATGGGTGGTATTTTTTAAGATGTGAGCTTTTGTCTAGAAACCCAATTTCATTGGCATTTTTTTTGATATGACTGTACTCAAAAGAAAAAAAAAATTGTATTTTGCAAGTTGGGTGTTTCTTCGCATCCACACGCAACTTAAGGGGAAGAGTGTACGAGATATGGAGAATAGGAGATATGGAGATGAGATGAGTAGAAATGAATCAACATCTATAATGTACACACTATGTGGACAAGAACATCAGTTCCGGTATTCGCGCATTTTTCAGTTGTCTTGCTCCCTATTTACTCCTAGCGCCTCGCCATGCAGCAGAGGATTTCGTCATACCATTGTTGTAATGAGATCGTCAAGGGGAGCACATACATTCATGATTAGCTGATTTTTTAAGGAGAATTTTTCATAAATCTTCAGTGTTCGTTGGCACTTTATTTGTCGCATAGCCGTCTTTGTTGTTCCTTTGTAGCAATTTTAGAGGTCTTTAGAGTAAGTTTGGTGATCACGTGTCCTGGATTACATCTTTTCGCTTTTACATACTATTCAAGCACGACAGTGAAAGCATTGCAAGTTTCTTTGGCAAATTTTTGGTTTCAAGACTCCAATTCCAGTTTGATGATCAAGAGTTCCGAAGTTATGGTTGATGATAAAGAGTTCCGTCTCCAGATGAGGAGATGAAGATGATCGAATTTCTCGATCCTCAAGAGTTTCGTCTCCAGATGAGGAGATGAAGATGATCAAATTTTTCGATTCTGGTTGATGATCAAGTTTTTCGTTACTTGATCCAGATGGATGATGGAGTTCTCCATTGCTCCATCATGTTTGATGATTATCGAGTTTTTCGTTACTCGATCCCGGATGTTCCGAAGAAG